AAAAAATTAGCTACGTTATATTTTTTCTGTTAATATAACAATGAAAGATCAGAACAATATATTACCAAATAAAAAAAAGCTGGACTTAAGTCCAGAAAGTGGCATATATTTAGAGGATGGAAGCACGAGTGTAAGGTTTGTGACGAATGCAATCACCATTCACACCTATATTGCAAAACATGCAAAAAAGTAGCGGATGATATATAGGATATTTTCTAAGAAAATCCTGAGGAATCAAATAAAGAATTAGCAATTTGGTAATAACGATAACGATAGATCTTTATTTTTAATAATAGCTTTGCTATTTATACATACACTTACTTTACTAACTACATAAATATGACTATATTTATTACGCAAAGTACTAACTAATTCGCTTACGATAGTATCGGAATTTTTTTCTTAGCACATGATTTTTTTGAATCGTGTGGCAGTGTTGGCCTATGATCTCTTATGACTTATTGGCTACATATAAGCTATAACCTGTAATGACAATCAAAATTTACTAAACTCACGAATTTGTCGCTTTGCTATTTAACCAAAATAGTGAATAATTAAGTAATATTTATTGTTGCAGTTGCCTTTTTTTAAATTTCGATTCCCATCACTAAACTCAAAAAAACCGAACTCAGGTAACCGTAAGCCGGCCATCCATATTTAGCTTGGCCTTCCTCCAATTTTATGGTATGATATAATACTTTAATCGGTGAAACCAATTTTGATGCCTTCTAGCAAGGCGCAGAAAATTTTCAATTGAACATATATAAAAGACTACCTCCGTAAGTAAAGTGCGAGACCCTATTCGTCTAATATGGCAATATTTGCTAATTATTCTGAATCATTTTCTTCAGTGTATTTTAGAGCGAAATCATACATTAAAAACGTTATGGAGGCAACCGACAAAGAAAAAATTTGGTGGGTTGAAGGAACTTATCCGTCTATTAAAGGTGAAAGGTAAGCTGGAACATAATGAGAATCACAGTAGTTTTTCCAATTGCCCATGTTAAGGTTCGATTTGTTTCATTAGGCTTCCTTTGGTCCTTGCAAGAGATGTATTATTCAAGGTGTTTGCTGAGAAATCTGAAAAGGCCAAGGCGGGAAGATTTTGGGACTATGATAAGGGCATTGTGACGATTATTGAGCTGCCATATGGTGATCATGAAGGTGCAATAATTGAATTCAATCGCCAAATTTTTGATCAATTTAGAAATGTAGCATCTCGGGATAACATTAGGGGTTGGGAAGCGAAAAGTAGGTCCAGATGTTTTAGTTTTTGATGTATCTTATTATACCGAACTGAATTACGTTGAATTTAGGTTTATACGACCTAACGACAGAAAAGTACAAAGAACCCGATGCCTGTTTTGTGCCTCGACGTCTGCTAAATCTGCCAAACCCGGTGCCTAATCCATGCGATAATGGTGTATGTAATTTGAATATGATTGTTTGGATATAAAAATATGTATTTGATGTTAATCTGTAAACTTTAGGGAAACCCATGGCCAACTATTATCCTCGAGGTTGTTTCCTTTGAAACGCTTGAACACGTAAAGGACAAGATCAACAACTTTTGGCTAGGTCCAAACCGTTGCGAGGATGTGATTGTCATTAAATTGGGCAATTGGAGTAACAAGCGCCGTAATCGGAATGGACAACCTTTGCGTCGTTTGCGAGTTCAATATTGTTCCGTAATTTATGTGATTTTTTTGCCCATTCCATTTAATCATTCATTTTTATTTCCGATAGTGTTTGAAATTCTGTCGACGAACAACTCTTCAACTAAACGAAAACGCTACGACATTTGATCCAATTCAAGAGGTAAATATCATGGAATTTTGCGAATGACTTTTTTCACCTATTTACTCATATTTAAAAATGGTAGATTGAGTTTGGGACTGTTGGGGCGAATGGAAGGGCTAGTAATTTTTGCTCGGCCCCCCAAACGAAATGGCTTACAATTGACCGTGATTGCATTTATGCGGGATGTGCTCCTCCTCTCCCTCCTCTTCAGGTTCTTTCTCAAACTTCTGCGCCTGGAGTTGCTATCGATTTATATGAGATACAACAGGCGATTTTCGATGCTATGGATAAAAATTGATTCAAGTAAATTTATTCATGAAAAGTTATATTGAAAAGTTCTATAATTGTATATAGTTCATCATATATACTATACAATTTTATTTTGGTGAAATATAAAAAATAAAGCTTTAAGGTACCAACCAAGTTTATAAGAGCAAAAGTTAGTTGGCCATTAATTCTGACAGAAGCAATAAGTGTATTATGTATGATAATCTTGTATACTTGTTTTATTTATGCAAGTTTTTTTGAATATAGCATCCCGTAATTTATCTTTTCTGTATAAATAAAACTGATCCTGGTGGCTCAATTTCACATAAATAATCAGTTTACTTTTGCATGTGTATTTCGTGGATTTATTTATTGTATTGTTATCGATGTATATTAACTCGCATATAATCAAGAATTTTTTTGGTAAAGCGATAGAGTATGAAATTTTTCACGCAGACATTGGTCCGTAGACAATAGCATAGACGTCATGTATCATGGGCTAGGTCCCGAACATTTGTATTTATTTTTCGCATGTATTAATAAAAATTCTTCTTGGCAAAACTGATCGGCGTTCCGAAATGGAACGCGCGCGTGATTTTTATTACTTAACATCTGCATAATTAGATGCTTCTTTTCTAGTTTTACCTATACCAACTCGATATTTGAATTATTTCATCTTGTATAATAAATATTATCAAACATGCAATCTGAGATTGAATCGTTGAGAGAAATAAATTCGAAGCTCTTAGCCGAGATCACTGAACTTAGAAAGGAGAATGCTGAAGTCAAGGCTAGTGCTCTCCAAAATCAAATCAAAATTTGAATTTCAATCAAATATTTGAATAAGCTTGATTTGAGCAAATATTTAA